GGGCCATTTAACTATAAAATGATGCAATCTTTGTTAAGAGGCTTTCATTCTGTTGGCAAGGCTTAAAAATGTAAATTTTTACTATTTTTTATCAGATGGTGCCATTTTTTCAGGTTTGGTCTATAAAGCAAATACTCGCTTTATTCCTGTTTTCTGCTTCGGCATATAATAGAGCCAACTGGATAAATTATGCAACGATATTTGTGTGGGTGTGATGGTATGGACGTCAGAGTGTGGTTTGTACGTGTGTTATAAAAAATATGTGTGTGTGTGCATGTGTGTGTTTGTAATATTGAGAGAGAGAAACTCAACTGCAAATAACAAATCCAATCACTGTGTGCACCAGTGGAGTTTAGCTGGCACCCAGTGGGGAAAATCTGTTACTGCGCCCAAACAAAATCTTACCGAAAGCTCATTTTTTTAGATATCATCCTCAAATTTGGAACACGATTTATTTAGATTTAGGGCTTCGATTTTCTAGCGTTTTAGAGTTCAACTTGTTTTATAAAATATATATTTTATATAAAATAATGTTCATAACAAATTTTCATAAACTTAAACCTATATAATTTTTTTATTGGATTTACTTATTATTATTTGTTTTACTTCAGCAATAATCTGCCAAGGGCCTTCTTTAAAATGATACAAAACTTAAGTCTGTGCTCCCAAGCTTCAAATTTTTATGACAGTTTTTTGACACTGACATTTTTGTCCTCTATGTAACTTTTTTTAATTGATGCACAAGGGTTAAAACAACAATGACTGTAAATGTGTGAATCTAAATTTTGGCATCTAATACAGAGTTTTACATCAGCATGTCATACTACATTAAATAATAGGTTTTTAAATGCCGTCTTCATTTGTGCAGGCTGCTCAGACAAAGAAAGAAAAATAGTTGGAGTCAATTTGTCAGGTGCATGTTTCAGGAAATCGAGCAAAGAAGGTAGATATATATACACTGCTAAAGTGACTGTAGTAATACTGTAAATGTATCTGAATGTTCTTGTGATGACTGACAGATCAAGTTCCAAACTCATTGATTTCTGTTTATTCCAGATATTAAACTGACATGTCCACGAGATTGTGATGAACAATTAAACGATATGTGCACAATATATGTCACAATAAACGGATCTTCTCAAGGTAAAAAACGTGTATATTTGTATCTTTGAGTTCAAAACTCTTCAGAAAGTATTTTTTCAATAATTATCCAATTTTCTCTCGTTTCCAGGACAGTGCAGAACATCAACTGCCAAAAAAGGCAATTTCAGCATAACAAACAATGGAGGGAAATATGAAGTAAGAATGAATGAGATGTGTAAAAAGACAGTGCTGTGGTTCTTCCCAGATGAATTGAAATGTCTGCCATCAAAGGTTGTATCATCAGGTGTGTCTCATCCTAAATTGAAATAAGATTTTAAGGCACACAAACGCATTAGAAATGTATTTTTTCACAAATAAGTGTTGTCATGATTGATCATTGCAGTGATGATGTTGTTCAATCTGTTGGTCAATCAATGCAAAGCAAAAAAGACGCAGACTAATTTCAAACAGCTTGTCTTAGGTGTGTTTTCTTCTAAGCACTGTAATTGTGTTCACGAGTTCACACTTACAATTAGAGGGAGTAAAGTTTAATGCGTGCTGTCCGGGGGGAGGGCTCCAAGCCCCAAGTGTTAATTATCTGAACGTGCTCCTCCCAAACTTTGTTAATAAAACATCATTTTGAGTTTGAAAGAGCAAATTATGGTAAAACCTATACACTTTTAGACTAGTTATATTTAGTGAGTATTGTAATGACTAACTTACTTTCTACTGGATTATTATTAGAAATTGTTTGCGACTGTAGAAAACCTGACTGCACCAAAATCTGCACCCCCGTCTGCACGCCCCTCTGCACCACAAAAACCGACCCAAACAAAGGTAAGTTTTTTTTTAAATGTCAGTTTATGTCTTCAGTTTGGGCAGGACAGTGGTTATTTAATAAGACAGTTGTAACAGCCCAGTGGGAATGAGCCGGTGCTGATATATACTACAGTGCGTGCAGAATTATTAGGCAAGTTGATTTTCTGATCATATTTTATCATCTTAAAATATAACGATATGACGAATTTAACGATAACGGATCGCCAGGTAGACGTTTATACCGGTAACAGGTCGAGTTGCAGGAACACATACAGTTTAACGGTGTCACACAGAGTAATAAAACCAAGGAAAACATAATTTTAAAGAAAATGTGACCATAAGTTTAAGTTTCGTGCAAAATATTTTTTAATGTGTTTAAAGTTTTTATTCATGCTTGTTATTTTTTGATTCATGCTTATTATATTTTGAAAATGTCGCAGACGCGTGATTTCATTTACCACACACACACACACACTGGAGCACCCGTGACGCTTGCGCTGTTTTCAGCCTCAGCCGCATCATTCTATGAGGACATGATTCCATAAACATCATCTCCAGAGTCGCTTAGTCACTTCATGAGCTTTTTAATGCTAATCTCCACGGCAACCCGTCAAAATAAAAGTTCGGTTTTTCATAGGGCCCTAAAAATGTAATTTTTGTTAAACTGTAAATAAATTGAATAAGTTTGATTTCAATTAATTAGAAATGCTTTTTGATTACTAAAATTTAATTTAAACATTAAAATAGAGTCTTTAAGTTTTATAAAATGTTTACAGAATGCTGCTGGGTGCTCCCTGCACTTTAAGTTATTATAATTATTATTATTAATAACAGTTCTCAGATTCAAATATATGTATAAAATCATTTAAAGAAAGTATTTGTCAAAACCCTTTGTTATTCTTAATTTTGACATTAATTTACATTTTTACACCAGACACATATCGGTTCAAAATATCGGTTATCGGTCTATTTGATCTGTAATAATCGGTATCGGCATCGGCCCTGAAAATCACATGTCGGTCGACCCCTAGATCACATGCGCTCCACTGACTTCACTCCTATTGGTTGTTACTCCCAAAAGTCGCTCTTAATTTGCATAAATTTAAACATCTCAACTTTGATGCGTCTCTTGACACGCCTACATCCTGTCGCCAACGGTCACCATCAATCGTATCACCGGGAATCGGCAACTCTCCATTGAAATTAATAGGATCTTGTCGCTGCATGACGCTGTTGGGGTGAGCGTATCAGAAGGAGAGCGAGTGCTTGGAGTATGTCAGAAATAGAACGGAACATCAGTTAACTGCCGGTGATTTTTTGTGTCTTTTTTGGCACTAAACACTAAATATTCAGTCATGGTCAGAATTATTGAAAAAAATTCTTCAAAAAAGCTTTTTTTAATTTTATTCATTTGACCACAGAAGCACGTCCTGTTTGAAGTTCAAGTCGTGTCTGACAGCTAACTATGCTGGAGTTTGTTTAGCCCTCTGGGGTCGGCCATCGTGCCGAGCTCACTTTTTTCCTTATCAGTCCAAAAGAGACTCAAATTACTCTGTTGATTTTGATCTTACATATAAGATCATCATTAGATGTGTTAGGTGTTGTACATCATTAGATCCTGTTAAGTGTCTATTTTTTTGTGGATACTCACAATAAAAACAAAGTGTTCTACTTTTTGTCAAATAAAGAAAAATAAACATGATGCGAATTTTGCCTTCTCTCTGTCAGTGAAGTTCATTCTGAAACGCGTCCGAAAATTAACAGTAACTCAGGGAATACTTGTCACACAGGCATGAAAGATTATTCGTTATGAAGCTGAAATTCTCTTCTTTTAAATGAAGTAATTTATATAATTATGTAATCTGTATGAAAAGAGAGAGATGTCAGTCTTTTTCCTTTCAGTTAATTATAGCTTATTACATGTTAATGTGACCACGCCCACTGAGAGCGCGCGCTATTCAAACGCAAATGTTGAGGCAAGCCATGAAAACGCCCACATCAGCTGGATAAAACATCCAGTTTAATAAAAATCTTGTACTTTACCTCGTCTTGCTGCGCTGTGAGGAATAATACTATCGTAATAATCCTGGAAAAGTAACATCAGAAGTGCTGGTAGTTTCATTTCGAGGAGCGGATCCAGCTGATGTATTAAGTTATTTATTCATAAGTGCTTTGTTCTAATCACGTTATTGAATAGTGTCTGTAAACTGGACAAAGACTGTTTAAATATGAATTGCGTGTCTGTGTGTGAATGAATTAATGAATGGCACAGATGCGCACGCGTAAACGTTATTTTTACATGAACACATCCAAACTATATTGCTATAGCCTACTGAGATTTGTTCTAATCGCGATATAGAATAGTGTCTGTAATGACAACATTTCGTTGACTAGTTTTGGATAGATTATAAAGTATAAAGTTATAAAATTTTTACTCTAAAATAGACATCAAATAAGCTTTTGTTTGACAGTTTCTGCTCAAATGTTAAATATATAGTATGTTTTGTCAAAAAAAAACTAAACAACTGTTATAGTGTTTGTTACAATGCAAACTATATCAAAATAATGAATCCTTAACTTTGAAATGTACAATATTTGAACACACAAGCGGTCTTCTTCGTGAACTTTTGAGAATGCGGTTAAAAACTAGCCTAGAACACCATCTTCTGTTAAGAACTAAGCACAGAATTAATTCGAGAGAGAATTGCGATGTATTCGGAAAATATTGGAGTCGATTCACGAATCGCGATGCATCAATTTATTGTCCCAACCCTAGCGTACTGTATGCCATTATGACGTGGCATTTTGGACTGTGCAGATGTGATAAGTCAAACAGGTGTCGAGCTGCTCAAACAAACAGATTAATGTTTTAAAAATGTTTTAAAGCATCACAATGTTTTACTCTTCAGGAACTTAAACAACCAATGACTGACTCTGAACATTAATCTACTATCTGTGGTCAGACATGTAAATGATATTAGGCTATACACAACACAATCGCTCTTTTGTGTTTTATTTTTGTTGTACTTTTATTACTTTCCTGATTGTCTCTGAAGACTATTCAAAAGCAGAAATGTTATTCATTTGAACTCATACAGCTACAGTATGATTTGATAATTATGTTGAATTGTGTGTTGTCATGGTCTCTTAGATTGTCTGAAAATCACATCTGTTGATCTTAAGACGACATGTAAAAAAGCTACATATGACAATGATACATGCAAAGGTAAGTCTGTCTTAGGATTTATAATATACTTTTCTATTAGTCGTTTCATTTGCTGTATGTCATTCCTCAAACTCAGCAGAATATAAAGTGAAATTACACTATAAACCTAGTTATCCATCCAGCCTACATGCTACATGTACTCCAGCTCTACACGTAAAATGATTTTTGTCCTGCATGTTCTCGCTGATACGCTAATCTCACATTATTTCTCTTTTCCTTGACCAAAAAGCTTATTCTTCTCAGTTCTTAGTCATCTTTATTGTAGGACTCATTATTCATTAAAGGTGATGTAAGGTTTTTTAGGTTAAAATACATTCCACAAAAAAAAATGCAGTCATACTGTGCGTTTACTAGCGATTAATACCAAATATAGAAAATGTATTCACAAGACCTAATCCACAAGAAAATAACGTAAGCTGTGACTGACTCATAATATTTTGAACTGCGTGTACTGACTTCACTGCCATTACACGATAGGCTAAGATGCCTCACATGATCCAAGTTAGCCGTTACGCTTTCTCCACAGGTAAGAGTTACAGACCCTCTCATCTCCCTGTAATAAGACAATCTCTGGTTTAGCTTTTCCAATTCCAATTAAACACTTGAGATGAACTGTTTGAAAATTTCATATCATGATTATCGTGACTAAAATAATCACAATTATCAGTATTATCATAAAATTAGATGAAAATTTTCAAAAAGAACTGATATGCACACTGAAAACATTTCAACAAATTTCATATTTGAAAATCAATAAACAACAAATAAAATTAGCAGCTCTATAGTTAATATTCTTATAGTTATTATTATAGAGGAACATTTTTTTTAGTTTGGAACAAATAAAAAGGTAAAATATTCCACTTTGCTCTTTGTTTTGTTATAAAATTCATCGGTGAAAAACATTTAAAGTATGTATATACACTATAAAATGAAATGACATTTCTTTTAAATGTATGGCGCAGCTTTTTAACGAGGCAACAACATATGACAGATAGGACAGAACAAGAAAGACTAATAATCTAGAATCTAATAATCATTGCACAAAAGTATTATAGGCTTAATATGAAAGGCTCCAATACAGAGAGGCTTATGCGCATCCCGTGCGCAGAATGATCCGCTTGAAGCAACACGGTGTAGCGCTTAGCATTGAAAAGTTCAAAGAACAAGGGGAAGAGATATTGATGCTTAGTGTATCATATATATGCAACAGTTTATTGAGCCTTTTCTTTTAACAGTTTTAACTTTCAGTTACTGTGCGTGTGAAAAACTCCAGCAAGATAAAATCCTTTATGCAAATACTTTATGAATCTCCCGAGCGCTGTCAATGCCTTCCGCCATGTCTTCTCATGCAAAAAAACAACAACGTTGTATGCTGTGTCAGACTGATGCTGCCTGTGCAGGATTTACCAAGAGCTTTCAAAATCACGATAATCGAACACTGTTTTAATGATAATTACATTTTAAACAATAATACTAACAGTCAGGAGATTTTATCGTGGTTTATCATGAAACGTAATTGTTTCATCCCTATTAAACACACCTGAACCAGATTATCAACCAGTTATTCAACCTGAACCAGTTAATCTTACTAAGAATACTAGACACTTTCCAGGCAGGTTTGTTGAGGCAATTTGAAGCTAAACACCCCTGCTCTAGAAAGTGTTTGCCTTCACAATTGCTCACTAATGACATATAGCAACACAGCTAAATGAATTCCTAATATGTTGGGCCTTTTATTGAATGTAGCCTATTTTTACCTCTTTAGACGTGCCTTTACACCCGTAAAAGTGTTATTGTGATATTTATTGAGGAAGGCATGACACGTGAAGGAGGTGTTTGTAAAATATGCTGTATTTGTGTTATCCACTAGTTGCCACTAGTTTTGCAGAAACTACATTCTACCCTTTTAATGACTGGACTATGATGATGTGAATGAGATTTGTGATGAGCAGCATGCTTAAAAAAACACTACAATGCTGTGATTATAGTGTTTCTAAGTTTATAAATAAGCAACACAATATCACTTTAATCTTTGACATTCAGTTGCACAAATATATTAATAAAATCCATTCCCTATTTATTTCTGTGTGCTAAAGACAATGAAGGAAGCAAATACATTCTGCGTTCAGACGGTGATAAATGGACATGTGTGACCTGCAATAAGACACCTACTTATTGTAGTCAAGCGAACATAACTGCCTGTGTCAGACAACCCGAGACAACTTACAATCTGAATTCAGATGGTCTAAAAAACAAGGATGGATCTATTAATCCCTCAAATGCATCGTAAGTGTGTGGATACAAGTGACTTTTAAAATTAAAACTGTATTACATTATACAGAGTGATTAAGCCTGTTTTGCAGTGTTGCCTTGGACAATCTAAAGTCCCTGGGGGAGCAGATGAAAAAAGACAATAAAAGCAGTGCGGCGATTGTGATGGGGGATGTTTATGGTATTCTCCAAATGCAAGCTGAGAACACAGAAACTGAAGACGCATGCTACTCTGCAGATCAGAAAACGATGAATGTAAGGGATGAGAAGCAGAAACACATGCCCATCTGGGTAGGACTCTTTATTTATCAATGATAATTCTTCTTTTCACAGATTCTTGACTGTCAAAGTGACCTGGACATGGACTTCCCCTGGTCTGTAACGATTTCCAGCGAGGCCTTTGATAAATCACGACTGGAATTTAATGGAAGTGCATTTGTTGGAATTTTAAGGTTCAAAAACATGGGAAATAAGGTAATTCTATTTTAAAAAGCATGTTTTTGAGTAAACTATTCCTTTAACAAATGTTTCGTGATCTATGTTATTCACAAACATTTATAGTTGATTAATGATTGCTCTTTTATGGCTTCTTATTTAGAATGAAACTAAAAATTACACTGTTTTGAACAATGAGGTTTATGGAATAACGATGGGCACCAATATCTCCGACCTTACAGACAATATAGAAATGTTCTTTACACAGAAAGATCTGGTAATGAAGGTTTAATGTTAATCTTTTTTTTTTTTTATAAAGACCAGACACAGTAAAAGCAAAATAATAATCAAACATGTTCTTACAGGTCGGTGAGCCGTCCTGCAGTTCTTGGGATGGCAAAGGTAAATTCACTTGTGGCTGCATTGGTTAGTTTCCATAAATGGGGTTGGTTCCATATATATGGTTCTTATTCAAAACCGTTCTTATGTCAGAACCATGCATAATTCATAGCTTCTGAAAACGGTCATGGTCACTGTGTGCTGCTTTAATAGTAGCACATTGTGATTTCCACGACACAGAAAACACAGATGGAATTACGGAATCCAATCATAAAAATTGGATTGACTGTATAATGCGGGATTGTTACAGAATTTGGCAAATTTGGGATGAATAAATCAAAATTGGGGTTCCATAATGAATCAAATTGCGATATGGATTAGGGCTGGGCAAAAAAAAAAAATTTTCGATTAATCGTTTTTTTAAATGTGGTCGATTCAAAATCGATTCTCAACGGCCACGAATCGATTTTTTCCATATTCAGGGCTCGCGGTGCTGCGTCTTCTCTCTCTGCACAAGGCAGGCGTCGATACACACTCGTGTTTAGGAGTTGGGACATGACGGAATATTCACTTGCACAATCGGGCCAGCATTGCATCGTAACTAACGTTTATCATTTTCATGTCTTTTTAAGTTTTACCAGTTTAAACATTCAAGCAATTTTAAACTATCCCGTGCTCGAGCGCTCTCAGAGATGTTTCTCACTGCGTGCACACATACAGTAAAGCCTAAATCCGCCTCACAAACCGCTCGCCAGTAACAAAAGTTCTTTTTCATGGATTTATATCGCTTTAACAGTTAAAAACACGCAAAATGATGTCAAAACTCTGGTCTTGGTGAGTAACCTCGTAAAGACAGTCGGTTATGTCTTAAATAAGCATAAAACGCGTGTGACAGACAGTGTAATGAAACAGTAATGGATCCGTGCACTAGTTCTTAAAGTGAACGCAGCCATATGTGTCTGTCATTAATTTTGTTGTCAACACAACATAATATAGCATTAATTGTTAGGAATCAGAATTAATAGCCTATGTATTTAATTCAGTCAGGACTAAAAGACAGTGTTATTTTACATTGCATTACTTTATTCAGTTTCTGTAGTATTTCTGACCTACCCAAAAACTTTTCTTTTTATGTCTCAGGAATCGAAATTCGAATCGAAATCGAAAATCGAATCGAGAGCTTGCGAATCGAAATTGAATCGAATTTGAACATCTGAATCGATACCCAGCCCTAATATGGACGAGTGTCTTAGTATTAAGCCGTAAAAAAAATTCAATCCAGAGATGCTCTGAGATTCACTTCATGAGCATTTCACGGTTTCATTTGACAAAACTATAATTAGATACATAGAGCAACTCAAAGGCCTTTACGACAACCTGCTAAAATAAAAGTATGGCTTAATTTGAAGATGTTATGACTAGGGCTGCACGATATATCGTTTTAGCATCGTTATTGCGATGTGCGCATCCACAAGTGTCACATCTGTAGCCTATAGGGATCCAAGTTGATCCGTGATCCGCACAAGCTACCCCCCGGTTCCGAACGCATTGGATTTAGTTTAACTATCATAGTAATACGAATAATGATACAATTTAAAATGTTTAAAAAATATGACCAAGACTATATTAACCAGTAAACCTATGGTGCAACCCTTTGTTTGATTAAAAAAAAAATGTGTTGTGTTTTTCTTTAATGAGAATACATTTAGAAAAGATTCATAAAATTGTTAAAGGTTTATGAATTAATTTAATTACCAATATTTTTAACTATACATTTTTATAATATCATTAATCACAGAATCCATAACGATTTTAAAAACTACTGTACATTGCACGGCTCCATCACCAGGTAGATATTCATGCAAAGGTTAGAAAGGTTGTGTGTTGATTTTTATTCAGAAAAATATATTAGATTTGCAAAAATTGTAAAATGCTATGTGTTGAATTTGTTGATGTTATGGTTATGTTTGACAGTAAGTTATAAAAACAAAAAGGATTGAGTATTGTGTATAGTTTTTAATCCAAAATGTTAATGGAATTGGACCCGGAATCATTAGGAAGAATCGAAACTGGAAAATGTCTTATGATTCCCAACCCTACCCATAAACAAACCCAAACCAAATTTATTTTATATATTTAAATTGCCGCACTCTTTTCTTCAAAGGAAATCTTACATGGACGACGTCCGGCTGTGATACAGAAAAAATCGACAACAACACCATAAAGTGCTCGTGTTCACATCTGACGTTCTTTGCAGTGCTGATGGTGAGAAGCTTCTCAGAGTTTCATTTAAAGACCCCATGAAATCAATATCAGAGTCTTTTAGCTACAGAACTTGACTAAGAAAACTTAACGGATATGCATTTAAAATTTAAAGATCTGAAAAGGGCTGTCACGATTGCTCGATTAAATTAGAGTACTTGATTTTAGAAAATCCTCGATTGCAATTTACCCGTGTTGAGTAACTGGCAAAATACCAGAAGTGCCGCATTCCATGGATGAGAATCCATGAACCGCATTATTACACTGTTTTCTAAGGCTGCACGATGTATTAAAACCATTTAAAAAAAACATACTAGGGATGCTCCACAAGCGAGCGTGCCGGAGTTATGTTCTTTTTCTATGCCGGAGATGTACCTATCTCAATAATTAATAGTATTGTGAAAACTTATTTTCGATCAATTATCTAACAATCTTTATGATAACAATTTACTATCTCAATGCCAGTCAGGTTTCAGGAAACACTTCTCAACTACCACTGCTCTTTTGAAATTCACAAATGATATTTTTTCGAGTTTTGATAACAATATGTGTACTGGTGCCATCTTAAATTTTCGAATTTTCGTCGAATTTTCCGTCGAATTTTACAGGTGTAGATAAAGGCATACCCCAGGGTCCTTCGCTTCGGCCTCTGTTATTTTCCCTTTTTATTAATGACTTGCCACTCTGCTGTTCAGGATGTAACATTCATCTTTATGCAGATGATACAATCATATATTGCTCTAAACTGAATATTCCAGACATCAATTATTCCTTACAACATGCAGGGCTCCAGATTAACTTTTTGCCTTGGTTGCACTGGTGCGCCTAACTTTTTTATATAGGTGCACCAGCACAAAATTTAGGTGCACTCCAATTTTTCCTCTTCTCGCGTCGCCTTTAACGCCATGATTTCAAGGTCACCTTTTTATCACGCTCCATATACATTCATATATATTATGTAAATGCTTTTAAACAAGAATAAGGTGTAGTTTTTCAAAAAAAAAAATTATTTGAAGCACAATTATACTGTATATAAAAATATAAATCTTTAAAAAAAAATCATTTAAAGTGCTTTTTTTACATTGTTCAAGTTAGGGCAGGGTATTGACACAAATTTCACAATTCGATTCAATATTGATTATTTTGGATATCAGGTACAATACATGGCAAATTTTCTCAAGGAAAACAAATCTCAACTAATGCAGTAAACTGGGAGTCAGTTGTAGCCCACTATGCTTCATTAGCCTACTATAATATTGAAGGTAAAAATTACCTGATTTTTCTCAATATTTTAGCAAAAACGAATACTTTAAAAAAGTCAAGACATCACGGTGTCACGGTGGGAAAGTGATGTCACCGGTGATGGGGCTTAAAACCGGTAACACCGCCAACACCGTCTATCGCGGCAAGCCTACAGGGCACCACAACTTCCAATAGGAAAATTCAACTGCAGTAGCCACCGTTCAACCTGAAGAGGGCAGTAAAAATTACTTGAATCAATGAACAGCATTAAAGCCCCAGTCTTACAGATCAGTAACTAAAAAAAGTTGTTTTAGGGTTTAGTTACCCTTTAACTCATTTTAAAGGCTTAGGTATTTGCTTAGATTTATTTTTATTAACAGAAAAAATATCAGATTATTCGATTAATTGTCAAAATAACTGAATGATTACTCAATTACCAAAATAATCGTTAATGACAGCCCTAGATCTGATTCTTGCTAATAGGGTTTTAAAAGGGTTGTTTTCTCTGCTCAGTCTCCTCCAGATGTAGATCCAAACATCACAGCTTCGTATGTGGAATCATTGAGCTTTATCACTTCTATCGGCTGTGGCATCTCCATGTTTTTTCTGTCCGTCGCTCTGTTCATGCATTTCCTATTACGGTAGAGTACCTTAAAATATAACATTCAGTTACTTAAATTAAGGTTTTGACCAGCTGCTTTTGTTCCTCTTTTGGATTACAGTGTCTGCTAAAAGCATAAATGCATGTTACAAATACAGTTTATTTTTTATATATTTGAACAGGAAAGCCAAATCAAATCAAGCCACGAAGATCTTGATAAACATGTTTGTGGCTTTGTTTCTCCTGAATTTATCCTTTTTGTCAAACGAGAGCGTCGCCAACACAGAAGACAAGGCTGCGTGCGTCTTCATAGCGCTGCTCATGCATTACTCAATGCTGGCTACATTCACCTGGTTCTTCATTCAAGCTCTTCATATGTACTTATGGCTCATCAGACAGAACGTCACCATCACAAACTACATGAGGAAGATCATTGTGTTCGGCTGGAGTGAGTTAAGAAATCACCTGTTATACTTTTGCCTTAAGAAATAAAACCTTTTAAAACAAAAACCAGCAAGTCAGACTGAAGAACTCAAGTTCACCCAAAAAAGAATAAGAAAGACCTATATTGTGGTCTTATGAACTCATGTCATGATACTTTTACGTTTTTGACCTTTACTTCAGCAGCTTGTCTTCATTAATTGTCTCAATCAGTGGTATTTTAATATTAGTTTTAGTCATTTTAGTACATCAAGTTAAATTAAATTAAATGAATATGAGAAATGTTGCCTTGGCAAGTAGCTAAAACAAAATGCTTTTTTTATATTTTAAGAATACCATTATATTTTATTTCAAGTAATGGAAATGTTTTTATGGTTTTAGTTTTAGTTACCTATAATAACCCTGATCTCTTTCAGCGTTTCCGGCTCCGATAGTCATAGCTGTTGTTTCAATAGGAGGATATAAAACACGGATCATAAACCCAACGTCCGGAAAAACCACACAAATGTAAGTTGTTCTGATGTCATAAATGCATGAATTAATAAAACTTAGTGCCCCTATTATGGAACTTTAACCTCTTGACTTCGTATACATTTACTATATAGAATACTAGCGGTGTCACGATTCTCCAAATATTCGATTAAATTTTTTCGATTCTAAGGTCACGGTCCAATTCGATTCTTACATTTATTTTTATTTTTTTAAAGCTGAAACCGGCCAATCAGGATGCTCTCTGTCTTACATGCGCTTCATGAGGCACACACGCAAGGTCTCTCGCTCTCTCCCTCTCTGCTCTGTGCGCGCTATACGGTTTGGAGCACAGTTTTTTCTGTCTCGCATGCGCGCTCTTGCTCGCTCACACTAGATTCCAGGAGATTTTAACTAATTTGCGGGCATCAGGGAAGCGCCATCCATATGCGGGAGACTCCCGGAACTTCCACGAGACTTGGGATGTCTGCAAACTGTGGCTTTTTTGAAGCGCGAACGTTGTCAACATAACTCACTGGAAATCCAAAAAACTTCCACACCTGCGACTTCAATGAAAGAGGAGGGGGTTCAAGTTCTGTCGATGGGTCTCCTGCATCTGCAGTTGCCATGCTATCTTTTGAAAACTTGTAGCTAAGTAGCTCACAAGAAACTAATCGCGACAGTTTCTCGTGCGCACGCAACAGAGAAACGAATCTCGAGAAAGTATTGTGTACTCACGAGAAACGAATCTTGAGAAACGGTCGCGTGCTCACGAGAAACGAATCTCGAGAAACTGTCGCGCGCTCACGAGAAACGAATCTCGAGAAACGGTCACGCGCTCACGAGAAACGAATCTTGAGAAACGGTCGCGTGCTCACGAGAAACGAATCTCGAGAAACTGTCGCGCGCTCACGAGAAACGAATCTCGAGAAACGGTCGCGCGCTCACGAGAAACGAATCTCGAGAAACGAATCTCGAGAAACGGTCGCGCGCTCACGAGAAACGAATCTGGAGAAACTGTCGCGTGCTCACGAGAAACGAATCTGGAGAAACTGTCGCGTGCTCACGAGAAAAGAATCTGGAGAAATGATCGCGTTCTCACGAGAAACTAATCTCGAGAAACTGTCGCGTGCTAACGAGAAACGATCGCGCGCGCACGAGAAATGAATCTTGAGAAACTGTCGCGTGCTCACGAGAAACGATTCTCGAGAAACGGTCGCGCGCTCACGAGAAACGAATCTCGAGAAACTCTCGCGTGCTCACGAGAAACGAATCTCGAGAAACGGTCGCGCGCTCACGAGAAACGAATCTCGAGAAACTGTCGCGTGCTCACAAGAAACTAAACTCGAGAAACGGTCGCGCGCTCACGAGAAACGAATCTCGAGAAACTGTCGCGCGCTCACGAGAAACGAATCTCGAGAAACGGTCGCGCGCTCACGAGAAACGAATCTCGAGAAACGGTCACGCGCTCACGAGAAACGAATCTCGAGAAACTGTCGCGCGCTCACGAGAAACGAATCTCGAGTAACTGTCGCGCGCTCACGAGAAACGAATCTCGAGAAACGGTCGCGCGCTCACGAGAAACGAATCTCGAGAAACTGTCGCGTGCTCACAAGAAACTAAACTCGAGAAACGGTCGCGCGCTCACGAGAAACGAATCTCGAGAAACGGTCGCGCGCTCACGAGAAACGAATCTCGAGAAACTGTCGCGCGCTCACGAGAAACGAATCTCGAGAAACGGTCGTGTGCTCACAAGAAACTAAACTCGAGAAACGGTCGCGCGCTCACGAGAAACGAATCTCGAGAAACTGTAGCGCTCACGAGAAACGAATCTCGAGAAACGGTCGCGCGCTCACGAGAAACGAATGCGTGCTCACGAGAAACGAATCTCGAGAAACGGTCGCGCGCTCACGAGAAACGAATCTCGAGAAACGGTCGCGTGCTCACGAGAAACGAATCTCGAGAAACGGTCGCGCGCTCACGAGAAACGAATCTCGAGAAACTGTCGCGCGCTCACAAGAAACTAAACTCGAGATACGGTCGCGCGCTCACGAGAAACGAATCTCGAGAAACTGTCGCGCGCTCACGAGAAAAGAATCTCGAGAAACGGTCGCGTGCTCACGAGAAACGAATCTCGAGAAACGGTCGCGTGCTCACGAGAAACGAATCTCGAGAAACGGTCGCACGCTCACGAGAAACGAATCTCGAGAAACGGTCGCGCGCTCACGAGAAACGAATCTCGAGAAACGGTCGCGCGCTCACGAGAAACGAATCTCGAGAAACTGTCGCGCGCTCACGAGAAACGAATCTCGAGAAACGGTCGCGCGCTCACGAGAAAAGAATCTCGAGAAACGGTCGCGCGCTCACGAGAAACGAATCTCGAGAAACTGTCGCGCGCTCACGAGAAACGAATCTCGAGAAACGGTCGCGTGCTCACGAGAAACGAATCTCGAGAAACGGTCGCGTGCTCACGAGAAACGAATCTCGAGAAACGGTCGCGCGCTCACGAGAAACGAATCTCGAGAAACGGTCGCGCGCTCACGAGAAACGAATCTCGAGAAACTGTCGCGCGCTCACGAGAAACGAATCTCGAGAAACTGTCGCGCGCTCACGAGAAACGAATCTCGAGAAACGGTCGCGCGCTCACGAGAAACGAATCTCGAGAAACTGTCGCGCGCTCACGAGAAACGAATCTCGAGAAACGGTCGCGCGCTCACGAGAAAAGAATCTCGAGAAACGGTCGCGTGCTCACGAGAAACGAATCTCGAGAAACGGTCGCGTGCTCACGAGAAACGAATCTCGAGAAACGGTCGCGCGCTCACGAGAAACGAATCTCGAGAAACTGTCGCGCGCTCACGAGAAACGAATCTCGAGAAACGGTCGCGCGCTCACGAGAAAAGAATCTCGAGAAACGGTCGCGTGCTCACGAGAAACGAATCTCGAGAAACGGTCGCGTGCTCACGAGAAACGAATCTCGAGAAACGGTCGCGCGCTCACGAGAAACGAATCTCGAGAAACTGTCGCGCGCTCACGAGAAACGAATCTCGAGAAACGGTCGCTTGCTCACAAGAAACTAAACTCGAGAAACGAATCTCGAGAAACGGTCGCGTGCTCAAGAGTAAAGAATCTGGAGAAATGATCGCGTGCTCACGAGAAACTAATCTCGAGAAGCTGTCGCGTGCTAACGAGAAACGATCGCGCGCGCACGAGAAACGAATCTTGAGAAACTGTTGCGTGCTCACGAGAAACGATTCTCGAGAAACTGTCGCGTGCTAACGAGAAACGATCGCGCGCGCACGAGAAACGAATCTTGAGAAACTGTTGCGCGCTCACGAGAAACGAATCTCGAGAAACGGTCGCGCGCTCACGAGAAACCGTCACGCGCTCGCGAGAAACGAATCTTGAGAAACTGTCACGTGCGCACGAGAAACAAATCTCGAGAAACGGTCGCGCGCTCACGAGAAATGATTCTCAAGCAATGGTCGCGTGCTCACGAGAAACGAATCTGGAGAAACTGTCGCGTGCTAACGAGAAACGAATCTCGAGAAACTGTCACGCGCTCACGAGAAACGAATCTCGAGAAACTGTCACGCGCTCACGAGAAACGAATCTCGAGAAACTGTCGCGTGCTCACAAGAAACTAAACTCGAGAAACGGTCGCGCGCTCACGAGAAACAAATCTCGAGAAACGGTCACGCGCTCATGAGAAATGAATCTCGAGAAATGGTCGCGTGCTAACGAGAAACGAATCTCGAGAAACTGTCGCGTGCTAACGAGAAACGATCGCGTGCGCACGAGAAACGAATCTTGAGAAACTGTTGCGCGCTCACGAGAAACGAATCTCGAGAAACTGTCGCGTCACGCGTGCTCACGAGAAACGAATCTCGAGAAACGGTCGCGCGCTCACGAGAAACGGTCACGCGCTCGCGAGAAACTAATCTTGAGAAACTGTCACGTGCTCACGAGAAACAAATCTCGAGAAACGGTCGCGCGCTCACGAGAAACGAATCTGGAGAAACTGTCGCGTGCTAACGAGAAACGATCGCGCGCGCACGAGAAACAAATCTCGAGAAACGGTCACGCGCTCACGAGAAACGAATCTCGAGAAACTGTCGCGTGCTCACAAGAAACTAAACTCGAGAAACGGTCGCGCGCTCACGAGAAACGAATCTCGAGAAACTGTCGCGCGCTCACGAGAAACGAATCTGGAGAAACTGTCGCGTGCTAACGAGAAACGAATCTCGAGAAACTGTCACGCGCTCACGAGAAACGAATCTCGAGAAACTGTCGCGTGCTCACAAGAAACTAAACTCGAGAAACGGTCGCGCGCTCACGAGAAACAAATCTCGAGAAACGGTCACGCGCTCATGAGAAATGAATCTCGAGAAATGGTCGCGTGCTCACGAGAAACGAATCTGGAGAAACTGTCGCGTGCTCACGAGAAATGATCGCGCGTTCACGAGAAACGATTGCACGCTCACGAGAAACGAATCTCGAGAAACTATTGCGCGCTCACGAGAAACTATCGTGTGCTCACGAGAAATGGACTCGGAGTGGACACAGAGTGGACTGCCATAACATCAATGAAAAACATTACTGCAGGTTTCAACATGGCTGTGTTTACGATTAGAAATGTCAAAAACAAATTTCGCCTACGTAGGCGATTGTAGCCCGTAGCCCGAATCTGTATCTGTATGCATGAGTCTGAATACCAGCAGAATTCACATTTTTGTTGTAAAAAGAGACACATTATGCAGAAGTATAGTTTGCTGTTATGTGTGTTTGTCAGAGCCTGCAGTTGCTGTGTGACGTATCGTGACGAACTGGACTCGCTCCGAGAGAAGGCCTTTAAAATCGATTCCCTATTTTCGTTTTCGAAACTTGTGTTGGTTGGTCCGATTGATTGTGCAATCGATTTGCGAATGTTAAGTGACAGCCCTATATAGAAGTAAAAGCTTTCTCTAGCCCTCAGATCATTTTCTTACCGAGAGGCACTTTGGAGCACCAAGTGGCCATTCTTGAAAAAGCCACTAGTCAGAGAAAAAATCCTTGCAGGAACCTCATTTTTTGTTATATCATCCTCAAACTTGAAACTTAACTTCTTGAGACTTGTGGCTGTGGGCCCATTGTATTTCTAGCAGTCGCAGGCATCTTTATTATTATTTTTTTGTGATAAAAAGATGTTATGCACGAAACCATTTCATTCCATTACACTCCAGCTTGTCTAACTTTTTTTATTTTTATTTTATTACTTGAATTGTTTTTGAATAAAGCCCTATTTGTCTTCTTTCAAATTATACAACAACTATGCTACTACTCTAAAGGATTTAGGAAAGACAACCATTTGAGTTCAAGCATGTCATTTTCCTGTTTTGGGCTCAAAATGGGGGTCCGAATCAAGAGGTTAATAAGTCATTGTGAATTCATTGGGTTTAGTTGCCGTGTTTCAGCACATTACGGAAAGAGCAGGAGTTACACATTCTGACTAACACGCATCTGAGGCGGCATTGCTGACACACGTGGTAATAGTTGATTGATTGATTGTTAATTTAAACGACGATCGTTTACTGGAATTTGTGTAAATTGACATCCCAACTGACAGCTCTATTACACACTGCATAAATGGTAATATCTGAAAAAGCATAATAGGGGCACTTTAAAGGATTAGTTCACTTTAAAAAAAACTTTTGCTGATAATTTACTCACCCCCATGTCATCCAAGATGTCCATGTCTTTCTTTCTTCAGTCGAAAAGAAATTAAGGTTTTTGATGAAAACATTCCAGGATTTTTCTCCATATAATGCACTTTACTGGGCACCAAACGGTTCAAGGTCCAAAAGACAGTTTCAGTGCAAACTGTTCAAAGGGCTTTAAACGATTCCAGACGATGAATAAGGGTCTTATCAAGCGAAACGATCGCTCATTTAAAAAATAAATAACAAAGTTTAAGTTTTATAAGCTCAAATGCCCGCCTTGCTCTGTTCTGTGTGACTCTCCTGTTCGAACTCGTTCATCAAAATGAACGAATCTTTTTCCGAGTCAATTCGTTCATTTCGTTCGTTAAATGAATCAAATGACTCGAAAAAAGATTCGTTCATTTTGATGAACGAGTTCGAACAGGAGAGTCACACAGAACAGAGCAAGGCTCCTTTAAGTGTCTTCTGATTATATTTCACTCTCTTATAATTATAGGTGCTGGATTACAGATCCGTTAATTCACTACATAGTGAACATTGGCTACTACGCTTTAGTCTTCATCTTCACGACAGGAATCTTCATCATGATCGTCACCAAGATTGTCCAAGCCCGACACATAGGAGCGCCTGTCGGCAAGAGAAAGACGTTCAGAAAGCAGCTCATGATGGTGTTGAGCTTGTTCCTGCTCTTCGGCCTGACGTGGGCTGTGGCGTTCTTCAGTTATGGACCGATGCTCATCCCCTCATATTACATCTTCACCGTGTTGAACTCGTTTCAGGGTGAGAAACAATCACATGCATCATTGAATTTGGTTTAGTAGGATGCTTCCAACAGATTTCAGCAAATTATTTGAATTAATTGATGAGTGATTTTTAATTGATTTTTCAAAATATATAATTAATTATAAGGGGTTATAATTGGAGTTGATATTTTATGGGTTACAGTTTAAAAATTATGTAAGTGACTTTAAAGGGTTAGTTCACCCCAAAATTTAAACTCTGTCAGTAATTGCTCTCCCTCATGTTGTTCAACCCCGTAAGACTTTTGTTCACCTTCAGAACACAAATTAAGATATTTTTTATTAGATCTGAGAGCTGGATCACTCCTCCATAGGTTTCTAAGGGATCGAAACTGGCCGGCCCAGAAAAGTTAAAGACATTAAAATAGTCCGAGTGACTACAGTGGCTCAACCTTAAGTTTATCCAGCGACGAGAATACTTTCTGTGCGCAAAAAACAAACAAAAATAACGACTTTATTCAACTATTCATTTCCTTCTGAGTTCTTGTAACAGCGCAGCGCTTCTGGGATGTACGTCAAACGTAGGCTCACTATTGGCCGACGCTGGTCATGTGTGTGATGTGTGTGACGTACAACCCAGAAGCGTTGCGCAGTTACACTACGTGAACTATCTCGATCAAAACTTAAGATAGAGCCACTATAGTCACTTGGACTATTTTAACGATGTCTTTAACTTTTCTGGGCCGGCAAGATCCAGCTCTCAGATTTAATAAAAAAATTCATAATTTGTGTTCTGAAGATGAACGAAAGTCTTACGGGGTTGAACAACATGAGGGAGAGTAATTACTGACAAAGTTTTCATTTTGGGGTGAACTATCCCTTTAAATCTTTCAATTGTATGAGGAAATAATTTTCTCTTATTTTTCCAGGGTTTTTCCTCTTCCTGTATTACTACCACATTCACAAAGACATTGAAGGTAATTTCTCTGATGATCCAGGAAGCTCCGGCTCCACCACAACCATCGTTCAATCCAGAGATAATGCAGTGGAAAATGTTTATAATGAGCATAATTAAGACAGAAACCCATGTTGTCTCTTAGACAGCAAATCGAAAGTAGAAGGTCAGAATACTAGTCGTGTTTAATAATAATCTGTGTCTAAGATGTTGTACGGTGAGGGGATGTAATAACTAATGGGATCATAAGTGGGATCATTAGCTTTTAAGACATTTTAAACAAAAGTTAATTTAACACATACATGAACATCGTCACTGGAAGCTACTTTACAGTTGCATTTTTTTCATTTTATTGTAAGTTCAGTGTAACTAGTTATGAAATGTATTGTTTGACTGACTTTTGAATGTTTAAATTGTGCAATGATCATTATTTTATTCATTATTTCTTGATGTAGTTGTAAAGATGTCAAGTAAAAAGGATTTTGTTTCAAATAATTATAATGCAGTTTTCATCTAGACTTTTGCTTTAAGCCTGAAGGCTAAACAAAAGTGAAAATTATATTGTTTCTTTTATACAGTGCACTAATATGATCATTTTTATTCTTGCCTCCATAACGGCATGAATTTGTGCATTATATTCAATATTTTGATTTAGCCTTTCTACATATAAATATTAGTGGTATGCTAGTATACGTTTCGTATTGCAGGTTTGTTTTCAGTAGTTATGTATTTGATATGCATTTATGATAGTGATATAGGCTTGTGTAACACTAGAGGGCGCTGTGAGATTGTGCAGTGTAACTCACAGTGTCTGAGGCTGGAGTTGAAGATGTGAATGAGATAATCTATAATGACTCAGTGTGACATGTATTTGCAATTACAACCAGCTATTGACTCAATACTTGTGATTCACATTGACTAATAAACTTCTATCCAGTTGAATGAGTTGAGCATTTCACCTGTTGATGACATGTTTTTTTATGACATAAAAAATAAATGCTATTCTTTTGAACTCTATTCATCAAAGAATCCTGAAAAAAGCATGCATTATATTTTCCACAAAAATATGACGCAACAAAACCATTTTTAACATTGATAATAATCATAAATGTTTCTTGAGCATCAAATCGTCATATTAGAATGATTTCTGAAGGATCATGTGACACTGAAGACTGGAGTAATGATGCTGAAAATTCAGCTTTGATCACAGGAATAAACAAGATATTCATGTAGTAAACAGCTTTTAAATGGGTCATGACATAAGAAATCAAATTTGCCTTGATCTTTTGACATATAAGAGAACTTTGTACCATTATTAAAACATACTGCAAGTTTCAAAACGTCCTCCTCATTATAAACAAAGCATAAATTTAATCAAGCTCTAAAAATGGCTCGTTTTGATTGCCACATTGATATTGCAGGATCTGTGATGTCACACGGGCAAAAATATTTGCATATTAATAGTTGTACATCACACCATAGGCCCCGCCCACTGGCGTTCATTCGCTTAACGTCTGACATTTGCCTTCACTGGATAAGTGTTGCATCAAAAGCAGACAGAAGCCATTATAATGACGGACGCTGTCTACACTGATACAGTATACAGATGTGTGTTCAGATTATAATGACTGACGCTGTCTACACTGATACAGTATACAGATGTGTGTTCAGATTATAATGACTGACGCTGTCTACACTGGTACAGTATACAGATGTGTGTTCAGATTATAATGACTGACGCTGTCTACACTGATCCAGTATACAGATGTGTGTTCAGATTATAATAACTGACGCTGTCTACACTGGTACAGTATACAGATGTGTGTTCAGATTATAATGACTGACGCTGTCTACACTGATACAGTATACAGATGTGTGTTCAGATTATAATGACTGACGCTGTCTACACTGATCCAGTATACAGATGTGTGTTCAGATTATAATGACTGACGCTGTCTACACTGATCCAGTATACAGATGTGTGTTCAGATTATAATAACTGACGCTGTCTACACTGATACAGTATACAGATGTGTGTTCAGATTATAATGACTGACGCTGTCTACACTGATACAGTATACAGATGTGTGTTCAGATTATAATGACTGACGCTGTCTACACTGGTACAGTATACAGATGTGTGTTCAGATTATAATGACTGACGCTGTCTACACTGGTACAGTATACAGATGTGTGTTCAGATTATAATGACTGACGCTGTCTACACTGGTACAGTATACAGATGTGTGTTCAGATTATGATTGACGCTGTCTACAATGGTACAGTATACAGATGTGTGTTCAGATTATAATGACTGACGCTGTCTACAATGATACAGTATACAGATGTGTGTTCAGATTATAATGACTGACGCTGTCTACACTGATACAGTATACAGATGTGTGTTCAGATTATGATTGACGCTGTCTACACTGGTACAGTATACAGATGTCTGTTCAGATTATAATGACTGACGCTGTCTACACTGGTACAGTATACAGATGTGTGTTCAGATTATGATTGACGCTGTCTACACTGGTACAGTATACAGATGTGTGTTCAGATTATAATGACTGACGCTGTCTACAATGATACAGTAAACAGATGTGTGTTCAGATTATGATTGACGCTGTCTACACTGATACAGTATACAGATGTCTGTTCAGATTATAATGACTGACGCTGTCTACACTTGTACAGTATACAGATGTGTGTTCAGATTATGATTGACGCTGTCTACACTGATACAGTATACAGATGTGTGTTCAGATTATAATGACTGACGCTGTCAACACTGATACAGTATACAGATGTGTGTTCAGATTATAATGACTGACGCTGTCTACACTGATACAGTATACAGATGTGTGTTCAGATTATAATGACTGACGCTGTCTACACTGATACAGTATACAGATGTGTGTTCAGATTATAATGACTGACGCTGTCAACACTGATACAGTATACAGACGTGTGTTTAGATTATAATGACTGACGCTGTCTACACTGATACAGTATACAGATGTGCTCAGATTATAATGACTGACGCTGTCTACACTGGTACAGTATACAGATGTGTGTTCAGATTATAATGACTGACGCTGTCAACACTGATACAGTATACAGACGTGTGTTCAGATTATAATGACTGACGCTGTCTACACTGATACAGTATACAGATGTGTGTTCAGATTATAATGACTGACGCTGTCTACACTGATACAGTATACAGACGTGTGTTCAGATTATAATGACTGACGCTGTCTACACTGATACAGTATACAGATGTGTGTTCAGATTATAATGACTGACGCTGTCTACACTGGTACAGTATACAGATGTGTGTTCAGATTATGACTGACGCTGTCTACACTGGTACAGTATACAGATGTGTGTTCAGATTATAATGAGTGACGCTGTCTACACTGATACAGTATACAGATGTGTGTTCAGATTATAATGACTGACGCTGTCAACACTGATACAGTATACAGACGTGTGTTCAGATTATGACTGACGCTGTCTACACTGATACAGTATACAGACGTGTGTTCAGATTATAATGACTGACGCTGTCAACACTGATACAGTATACAGATGTGTGTTCAGATTATAATGACTGACGCTGTCAACACTGATACAGTATACAGACGTGTGTTCAGATTATAATGACTGACGCTGTCTACACTGGTACAGTATACAGATGTGTGTTCAGATTATGACTGACGCTGTCTACACTGATACAGTATACAGATGTGTGTTCAGATTATAATGACTGACGCTGTCTACACTGGTACAGTATACAGATGTGTGTTCAGATTATAATGACTGACGCTGTCAACACTGATACAGTATACAGACGTGTGTTCAGATTATAATGACTGACGCTGTCTACACTGATACAGTATACAGATGTGTGTTCAGATTATAATGACTGACGCTGTCTACACTGATACAGTATACAGACGTGTGTTCAGATTATAATGACTGACGCTGTCTACACTGATACAGTATACAGACGTGTGTTCAAATTATAATGACTGACGCTGTCTACACTGATACAGTATACAGATGTGTGTTCAGATTATAATGACTGACGCTGTCAACACTGATACAGTATACAGACGTGTGTTCAGATTATAATGACTGACGCTGTCTACACTGATACAGTATACAGACGTGTGTTCAAATTATAATGACTGACGCTGTCTACACTGATACAGTATACAGACGTGTGTTCAGATTATAATGACTGACGCTGTCAACACTGATACAGTATACAGACGTGTGTTCAGATTATAATGACTGACGCTGTCTACACTGGTACAGTATACAGATGTGTGTTCAGATTATGACTGACGCTGTATACACTGATACAGTATACAGACGTGTGTTCAGATTATGACTGACGCTGTCTACACTGATACGGTATACAGATGTGTGCTCAGATTATAATGACTGACGCTGTCTACACTGATACAGTACAGACGTGTGTTCAGATTATAATGACTGACGCTGTCTACACTGATACAGTATACAGATGTGTGTTCAGATTATAATGACTGACGCTGTCTACACTGATACAGTATACAGACGTGTGTTCAGATTATAATGACTGGCGCTGTCTACACTGATACAGTATACAGATGTGCTCAGATTATAATGACTGACGCTGTCTACACTGATACAGTATACAGACGTGTGTTCAGATTATAATGACTGACGCTGTCTACACTGATACAGTATACAGACGTGTGTTCAGATTATAATGACTGACGCTGTCTACACTGATACAGTATACAGACGTGTGTTCAGATTATAATGACTGACGCTGTCTACACTGATACAGTATACAGATGTGTGTTCAGATTATAAAGACTGACGCTGTCTACACTGATACAGTATACAGATGTGTGTTCAGATTATAATGACTGACGCTGTCTACACTGATACAGTATACAGATGTGCTCAGATTATAATGACTGACGCTGTCTACACTGATACAGTAAACAGATGTGAGTTTAGATTATAACGACTGATGCTGTCTACACTAATACAGTATACAGACGTGTGTTCAGATTATAAAGACTGACGCTGTCTACACTGATACAGTATACAGATG